AATTTAATTAAAACTTCCTCAGGATCTGAAACCAATGGAAAATGACTGGCCTGAGGAAGAACTAGATCTAGTTAACCATCAGCTAATTAATATGCTAAATAGTTTTACGTAAGTTTACCATAAAGTACAAATAACAGTAGAACAATGGAAGAAGCAATCAAATTAATACAAAGATATGGAGATGTATACAATGACTTTATAGGATGAATGAATTTCTTCAAATCTATCCCTATCTTGTACTAGTTCCTCCAAATGTTGGACATACCCATACTAATACTACTATATCTATTGTAAAATAAAATCGTTTTCATTTACAAGAGCCTGAGCCTAAGTCCATGAATGTAGACTGTGCAGGGAAGAGTTGACTTTTCAGGTCTGGTTTACTCAAACCTTGTACCTTCCCAGCAGGGTCTGTTTTCACAAAAGGCCCTTGTCCACCTACTAGGAACTGAAGTCTTAGAATGTTCTAATTGATAACTGTTTTTAATGCTTGGAGCTTTTACCTACACTGTATCAATTTGTCTAGATAGTCTAGGTAAACAATATGATTTATGGGGAATACCTGCTTTCCTTCTGGTAGTCTATTTTGGTAACTGCAATCAACTATGCAGGTACCATGTGCCTGTGACCAAACACTACCAAAAACTCTGGAATCTTAGGCTCAACTGAGCTTTCTTGCGACCATGTGTTGCTGCAATTTGTAGAGAGGGGAATTAAGTGAATTCTATGCAACTCCACTGGAAAAGGTGTCTTGGAAGTTTGTTTGTCTGGTTTCCTCCAGACTTTGCAACATGTGCCTGCCCCCTTTACCGATTTTTGCCTTGCATCTTTTTGCTGTAATAAACCACAACTACAAATATGATGATTTCTGTATCCTATGAGTCCTGGAGGTAGTCTTGGGAACCCCTGACATAGGTACACCAGAAATATTTAATTAACATAAAAGAAGGCAGTAATGGAAACAGAAGACATATGACAGCTGTAAATGACAGCAAAATGACAGCTGTAAACCCTCCTTATCAGTAGTTACAATGGAAGAATAATAGCAGACTTCTCATCAAAGAAAGGTAAGAAAGACATTCTAGCAACATTTTTAAAGAAGAAAAAAGTTGCCAACCTAGAATTCTATAACAGTGAAATGTTATATATGAAGGGTACAAGTTAAATAGTTTTTTCAGACATACAAAAGTTGAAATAATTCATTACTGGGAGATGTGCACCACAAGAAATAGAAAGTCCTTCAGGTAGAAGGAAAATAATACTTGATGGAAATCTGGATCTACATGAAGAAATGAAAAATACCCAAAATGGTAAATATGTGGGTAAATAAAAATAACCTTTTTTCTTATTCATTTGTAAAGTTCTTTAAAAGATGAGTGTTGAAAGAAAAAAATAACAATGTATTATGAGTTTTAACAAGTGCAGAAGTAAAACGTATGATAATAATGGCACAAAGGCTTGGGAGTAGGGAATAGACGTTCTTATGTTTAAGTTCCTATGCTTGAACTGTGATAATGTTAAAGGTGTGTACTATAAACCCTAAAGGAAGCACCAGAAGAACAAAACAGTATATCTAATATCATCAAAAGAGATAAAATGAATTTATAAATAATACTGAATCCAAAGAAGTAAATAAAGAACAAATAAAAAGCAAATAGCAAGATGGTATCTTTAAAACTAGTCATATCAATAATCATATTAAATGAGAATGGTTTAAACATCTCAATTAAAAGGCAGCAGCTGAGGGAGATGGCTTCTGCCTACAATCCTAGCATTTTGGGAGGCCAAAGAGGAGGATTGCTTGAGCCCAAGAGTTGAAGACCAGCCTAGGCAACATAATGAGACCTTGTCTCTACAAAAAATTTTTAAAATAACCAGGTGTGGTGGTACACACCTGTAGTCCAAGCTATCCGGGAGGCTGAGGTGGACTGCTTTATCCCAGGAGGTCAAGCTTGTAGTAAGTTGCGACGGTGTCACTGCATTCCAGCTTGGATGACAGAGTGAGACTCTGACTCAAAAAATAAATAAAAATTTAAAAGGCAGATACTGCCACACTGTATTTTTAAAAAAGCATGACCCAACTTTAGGCTGCCTATAAGAAACCCTTTATATTTTATTAAATATAAAAACAAGTCAAGTGTGGCGGCACGTGCTTGTAGTGCTAACTACTCAGGAGGCTGAGGCAAGAAGACTGTCTGAGCCCAGGAGTTCAAGTCCAGCCTGTGTAACATAACAAGACCCCATCTCTAAAAATAAAAATTTAAAAATGTCTAATAAAAACTATATGAAAACACAAGTAGGTTAAAAATAAATAGATGGAAAAAGACATGCCATGTCAATACTATTCAACAGAAAGCTGGAATATTTATATTAACATCAGAAGAAAGTAGATTTCAGAACAAAGAATAATGACAAGGATAAAAGGGGACATTTCTGGCCAGGAACAATGGCTTAAGCTTGTAATTGCAGTACTTTGGGAGGCTGAGGTGGGAGAAACACAATATTTACACTTGAGCCCAGGAGTTTGAGACCAGCCTGGGCAAAAGAGTGAGACCTCCATCTCTACAAAACAATTTTTTTAAAAAATTAGCCAGGCATGGCGGTACATGCCCATGGTTCCAGCTACCCAGGAGGCTGAGGCAGAAGGACTACTTGAGCTCAAGAGTTCAAGGTTGCAGGGAGCCATGATAATGGCTCTGAACTCCAGCCTGGATGACAGAGCAAGACTCTGTCTTTTAAAAAATGGGGGTTGAGGGGGGACATTTCATAATAAAGGGTCAATCTATCAAGAGAACATAATGATTCTAAAAGTTTATATACCTTAACAGCAGAGTTTCAAAATACATGAAGCAAAAATTGATAAAACAGAAAGAAGAAACAGGCAAGTCCAAAGTTTTAGTCCAAGATTTCAATACTCTTCTCCCAATAATTAATAGAAAAAGTAGACAGAAAATCACTAAAGAAATAGAAGACTTGAACAACAGTGTCAACCAGTATTGACATTAATAGAACACTCTATCCAAAAACAGAAGGATATAAATACTTTTCAAGCACACATGGAATATTTACCAAAAGTGACTATTTGGGGCCATTAATTCTCAATAAAGTTAAAGGGATTCATATAATATGAAGTATATTTTCTGACCACAATGGAATTAAATTAGGAAGCAATAATAGAAAGAAATCTGGAAAATCCTATAAATACTTGGAAATTAAATGACACACTTTTAAATAACCCTGGGTCAAAGAAGAAATGAAAAAGAAAATGACAAAGTATTATGATCTAAATGCAGATGAAAACACAATATATCAAAATGTGTAGGCTACAGCTAAATGAATATTTATAGGAAAATTTTTATTCTTAAATGCATCTGGTATAAGAGAAGAAATATCTGAAATCAAAATATGGTCCCCAGAACAGCAGCATCAATATCACCTGGACATTTGTTAGAAGTGCACATCTTCAGGCCCTAACCCAAACCTACAGAATCAGAAACCCTAGGGGTAGGGCCCAGCAATCTATGGCCCTGAAGGTAATTATGATATACATCCAAGTTTTGAGAACCACTCCTATGTACTACACGAGTGTCATTTTTATTGTGCTAGGGTTTTTCTTCAATAAGGAACCTACATAGTTTATATTGCTCTGAAGTTAATGTCATTAAAAAATAATCTATTTTGAGTAGTCTCTTAATCTTGCATCAAATTTAGAAAAGGTCCCTTGCCCAAAGAGTCCTGCAAGTGGTTAACCCTATAAATAATGCCTTATTTACTTAAAAAAAAAGACCCAAATATTAAATGACATAGGTACAATTTTTCTTGAAATCTACAGGGGTTTAGTGGACAAACATGAGAGGGGGACTATGGCCCCACTGAATAATTCCCTTATGCTAGGTCCTCCATATATTTGGGAACCAAATATAGTCAACTCCCAATCATGTTCACTGATGAAAAGGAATAGACATGTTAAATTTAAATGATTATATAAAAATAATTTGCTTGAAATATGGTTTTATACCTACACTTGAATATGAATTTGTCTGATGTTCTAGCATATCACTTCAAACGAAATATTGAAACACCAACATAAGCACTAACTCCTTTTATAGTAGGCATCAACTAATTCAGTGCATCAATCTCAAGCAGATCTGGTCTCTATCTAAATTTGCAGGCTCACATCTTTCCTGGGACAGGGAGATAAAGATTTTGGCTTCAATGGGCTTCAGTTACAGATTCTACTAATCAGGAGTAAACAAAATCTCATTGTAGTATCAGAATAGTTAACTGACAAGAATAGATGAGAATTTCAATAAGAATTTGAAAGCAACATTTGCCATGGAAGAATTTTTAAATGGGTAATCTATCTAGTAATCTCAGTTTATTATATGGCAGTCTTCAAAAATAAATGGGAAAAATATAATGAGGTTCTTATAGTATTCTAGGCTCCAGGGGAAAAATATAACCCAACCGACACCAGGTTTCCTTCCTCTCCCCCAGTCTTTGTTGATTTTCATTAGCTTTGGTTCTCAGACATTGCTTTCTGTTCTTTCCTATGTTTTTGAACATAGGCTCACAACAGCTGCCTATGAGGTCATGAAAGTATAATTATTCAAGTAATCAGTCAGTCACCACTGTTAAAATGTTTTAATATCAATGTAAAATGAGATCAGGGTTTTATAAGCAGAATTCAGAATACAAACACTGATATCTTTTTTTTATTTTAAAGATATGGGGTACAATTCAGGATTAGGTATACAAATGGTCATCATACAGGTAAAGTTTGGGCCTCCCTTTGGTCCTCACTTTGCCTAGTTTGAGATTGGGTACCCATATTGATGTTGCATCCCCACCCTACCCCCCGGAAGTATCCCACTACTACCAATCCCTTTCTTACATTATTATGGTAAATGTTCAAGGTCTGCTTATGAGTGAGTACATATGGTACTCTGTTCTTTGTTTCTGTGATAGATCATTTAGTATTAAAGACTCTAAATCCATCTAAGTTGCTATGAAGTCCATATGTTTGTCCTTCTTTATGGTTGGGCAATATTCCATGGTGTATATGTATAAATGCTGATTTCTAAAATGGTTTCTCTCCCTTTTAAAAGTATTAGATGAATACATACAAATCTTTGGTTTTTCTTAAAGCATGGTACGTTTTTTCCATTTTAATACATCTACAGTTGACAAACATGAAAAATGACTACTTCCAAATAAAAGGTCTCTAGTAGAAACTTCCAAATTATAAATGAAGCATTTTAATTTACTTATTGGCCATGAAACCCAGCAAGAAACCACCTTTTCTCCTACATCTCAGAAGACCCACCACCAATTCCTTCCTAAAGGATTAATGGTATTATCAGTACTTGACTCTCTTTTATCACATCCATTCCTGGTTCAGTCTATGAGTCTATTTAAATTAATGTTACAGTTACAGTTACTGAAAATGCCCCACCATCTTTTTCACTGCATTACAACTTGGCAATGCACTAGCAATGCACACTTCTGAGAAACGAGCCATGAAGAACATAATGGTCTGACAGAATCAATCATACATCCTAGGTCTGCCAGATGAGTGAGGATGTTAATGGAAATGTAAAATTCCTGGAGGCATTCTTTTTTTCTTCTCTCTAAGTTACTAGCATGCAAGGTATCAGGAAGAAAACAGTAGAGAACGGTAACATCAGCACTTATATGAAACTTTCCTAGAGCTAAAGGTAAACTAAACAAAATGCAAACTATAGTGGGACAAAGAATTGACTCTCATTTTAGTTTCATTTGTGCCTGTGGGCAATCTTCAAACTAAGAGGGTCACAAATTAGGGATCAATATTAATATACTGAGGGTTCAGCAGTTTGCATTGCATATTATTTAAATTTCCATCTTCCCTAAGAGTTATGTGTGTGTTGAACTTGGTGCCAACAGTCAAGAAATAACCAAACAAGATAAATCTTAAATATACCCACTTCCAAAACTAAAAAGCATCTTTAACACATTTTCTCTGCCATTCCTCAAGCAAATTAGCAAAACAAGTAGAAACTCAAAACATAATTGTAATGTTAGACAAGATAATTCATTTTCCTTCAATATCTTAGTCTGTTCCAAAGTATTTCTGTCCAAAATGTGTAGGTGCAACAGGATGAACTTCAGTAGTTAAAATTGTGATCTCTGGAAACTCTTGAATAATTGATTTGGCACCTTCAAAAAATTAAAAAAAAAAATTGTTGTTATAGCAGGATTTTTTTGGCAACAACAGTTGGAATTCAGAAATTTTATAGTCATTGTCACTAAGTCTAATACTGAGAAAAGAGCAATGACTTTTGGATGCCTAGTCAGACTTAATCTCTACATTTATATAATGTCCAATGTCTGTAAAACTTTGATAGTAGCCAGACTATGCCCCTGATCTCTCACTAATACATTCTTAGAATCAAATTTTTCATACCCAAGATTTGAAAAATATAGTTATTCAATTATAGCAAATTTTCCCCTGAAGAATCTTGTTGTTTTGTTTTAAAAGTGACTGGAATAGAATGAATACAGTGTTTTTGAAAAAGAGGATCACATATATGATGATATTTTCCCAACTAGAATACTGTGAATCCAGCACAAAGATTGCTTTGGTGTGTCAGAGCACTCTAACTCTTTAGAAGTTAGGACTCTAGCTTTGAGGGAGGGGAATGGGCAGGAAAAGGGAATTAGGACTAGCTGGGACCCTAGTCAAAGTAAAAAGCCATAGCAATGCTGCTTCAGAATAAAAATTTTTTCAGCTATAATGTCAAAGAATAGTATATTATTCTAATGTATACTACTACAACTAAAGAGATTACTTTCCTATTCCCAAGGGTGAAAATCTTAATAATGATCAGATTATATCAATATTTTCAATGCCCCTTGTGTTATATATAAATGATGATCAAGCATATCACCATTTGTTAACACCGACATTTAAACTACAGGTAATTTTTGTTATGAAACAGCAAAATAATTAAACAGGCCACAATTCCTATACAACAGCCTACTGAAAGCAGTCTTCCCAACTAGAATCATGTAGCCTCTTTAGGGTTGTCTGAGACTTAGAAACTTTGGAAATGAGAAAACACTTGACTAGAGAAATCACATATTTATCTTTGTTTTCAATTTTGCAGCAAGTAAGAATTCACTGTAGAACATTTGAAAAATATAAGTAAAAGCTTAAAAATAAAATGAAAAGCACTTAGAATCGTACCATCCTAAGATAACCACTATTAATATTGTGTGTGTATTTTGAAACCATAATTAAATCATATTGTATATCTGTATAGCCTCTTATGCTGATGAAAGATTTATTAGGTTCCATGTTAAATCTAAGTCTGATTTTGGTAATTAAAATAGTCGTAATTTGTATTAATCATCTCTAAGCTTGGTGACAACATTTTATACTATTTTAATGCTATTATTTTTATACTGCTATATTATATACTGCTATTTTACATTTACCATGCTCATTTTTGCCATTAAATATTTTTCAAAAACATGACTTAACAGTAACACAATCTTATATCCATTTAATATGTATTATTTGTTTAACCACTTCCTTCTTGTGAGTCACTTATATACCTTCACATTTTTTATTATACCAAATAACTCTATAATTAACATCCTAGAAGTCAATTTCTTCATGCATCTATAATTATTTTCTTAGAATACATTCTCAACTGTCCTATATTGTATGGCAAAAAAGCTAGGCTCTTAAGGTAGGCACACCTCCCTCAAGAAATGGAAAACACATAGTATTCTCATCATGGCCCTTGAGTAGAAATTTAATTTTAAAAACTACTGCTCTTCACTTCACACTGCAAAGTTTACTTTAGTAAGACCAAGGGCTAGCTAGAACCTTGAGTTTCTTGCTGTTTGGGAGCAGTTCTCAGGCTCAGGTGCGGAGTCAGAGAAAACTGGGATTTTTGCAGCTATTTGCAGGCTCTACCCAAACAGGGCCATCAGGAAAACAACTGCAATTCTTTTCAATGGGGTTAGTTCACTTTTCTCCATTTGAATTTGAACAACGCTGGAATGATATAAAATATTATCACTAAGCTTAGAGATGACAAATACAAGTTATACCTATCTAAATTATATTTAGATCTAATGTGAAAGCAATAATTTTTCCCTAGAATGAGAGGCTATACAGATGCACACTTACCCATTTCATGACTATCTGGAACCCCAGTTATTGCTTCATACTGAACTTACCACGAGGAGTGGAGAACAGACTGAGTAGGATGATAACACTGGGTTGAACTCCATGTTCTATAAGAACCTTTACAGCTTCAATTACAGTATTTCCAGTGCCTGAAATCAAAAGATAACCAAATGCATTAGCAACCATAACATTTATTTCAAAATGTCTTTGAAGTAAAGGCAATGCAGTAATTTAACACAAGATACCACTAGGCAAAGCTTCATTGAATGTGCTTGTTCTTTACCAATGCTATTTTCAATAATGGACATGATATATGCACTTTTCAGTTAGCAAATACATAAGCCCTAAACTCATTTAGTACTTGAGCATCAGATTTAACATATACTCCCTTGCCTTCCCAAGAGACCATGTCATGTATGGTCTGAGTAAGTTTAGAAAAGAGAAAAGAAAAACAGAAAAAATATTACCTCCAGAGAGGATAGATTCTTGAGAAAACCACTGCTGTACTTATTAGGTTAGAGAGTGGATATGTTTCTATATATTTTCTGTGTTCAATATATTTTGTCTCACTAGATCCTTGGCTTCAATGTTTTCATTTCAAGACAGAAGCTCTTTGGAGCTAATAAAGCTATACTAATGCATGTTATCTTATTACTCAATAAAAATTTTCCAGTGAACTATTCAGGAAAACTCCATATCCAACTGAGATAAAACACATTTAGAAACTGTTTTTGGATCTACAAGGAACTTAAATGAGCCAAAAGGAAAAAGACTAACAGCCCTATTAAAAAATGAGCAGAGGACATGAATAAACACTTCTCAAGAGAAGACATACAAGCAGCCAACAGATACATGAAAAAATGCTCAGCCTCACTAATCATCAGAGAAATGTAAATCAAAACCACACTGAGATACCACCTAACCCCAGTAAGGATGGTCATCATTAATAAATCACAGTAGATACAGGCATGGGTATGGAGAAAAGGGAATGCTTCTACACTGCTGGTGGGAGTACAAACTAGTCCAACCTCTATGGAAAATAGTATGGCAATATCTAAAAGAACTAGAAATTGAACTTCCGTATGATCCAGAAATTCCCTTTCTGGAATATGCCTGGAGGAACACGAATTGTTTTACAAAAAAGACACCTGCACATGCATGTTTATTGCCACACTATTCACAAAAGCAAAAACATGGAATTAAGCCTACTGCCCATCAAAAGTAGACTGGATAAAGAAAATGTGGTACATATATAAATGGAATATTACACAACCATAAACGACAAAATCATGGACTCCTCAGTAAACTGGATAGAGTTGGAGACAATCATTCTTAGTGATCTACCACAGAAACAAAGAACCAAATACCACATGTTCTCACTCATAAGTGGTTCTCACTCATAAGTGAACATTAATCAAAATAGCACAAGGGAGGGATCAGCAGTCACAGGACACTGCCAGAGGAGGAAGAAAGGAAGGGGGCTTGTAACAACACAAAGGGTACCTGGTCTTAAGCCAGCAGAAGTGAGGACTAGTTGGAAGCCCAAATTTCACCTGCACATACATTACTTATGTACCTAATCCTGACTTGTATCCTGCATCTTTATAATAAAATAAAGTTTAAAAAAAAGAAATTGTTTTTGCCTTTTATTTTTATTTATTAATTTTTTTAGAGACAGGGTCTCACTCTGTTACAGTCCAGGCTAGAGTATAATCATAGCTTTCTGCAGCCTAAAATTTCTGTACTCAAGAGATCCATCTTCCTGCCTCAGCCTCCTAAGTAGCTAGGACTACAGGTACACACCACCACACCCTACTATTTTTTTTTCTTAGAGCTAGAGTCTTGTTATGTTGCTCAGTCTGGTCTTGAGCTCCTGGGCTAAAGTGATCCTCCCGCCTTGTCTTCCCAAACCACTGGTAGTACAAATGCAAGCCACCTACCAGCCTGCTTTTGCTTTTGTATATGGGTACCTAGGAGGCAGACACTGATTTTTTTTTTTTTAATTTTAAAGATGTGGGGTACAATTCAAGATTAGGTATACAAGTGGTTATTGTGCAAATAAAGTATGGGCCTCACTTTGGTTCCCACTTTGCCTGGTTTGAGATCAAGAACCTTCATAGATGTTGTGTATCCCCACCATCCCCTGGCAATATTATGGTAAATTTCTAAGGTTTGCTTATGAGTGAGTACATATGGTACTCTGTTCTTTGTTTCTGTTATAGATCACTGAGTATGACAGACTCTAAATCCATCCAAGTTGCTGCAAAGTCCATATGTTTGTCCTTTCTGGCTGTATAACATTCCATCGTGTATATGTACATTTTTAAAATACAGTTCACTTTCGATGGGCAGTATGGTTGGTTCCATGTTTTTGCTATTGTGAATAGTGCTGCAACAAACATGTGTGTGCAGGCATCTTTTTTGTAGAATGATTTGAGTTCCTCCGGGTATATTCCTAGTAGGGGGATTGCTGGGTCATATGGAAGGTCAATTTCTAGTTCTTTTAGAAATCATCACAGTTTTCTATAGAGATTGAACTAGTTTGCGTTCCCACCAGCAGTATAGAAGGGGTCGCTTTTCTCTGCATCCCCACCAGCATCTGTTATTTGTTTTATTAATGATCCCATTTTTACTGGTGTTAGATGGTACCTCAGTATGGTTTTGATTTGCATTTCTCTGATGATTAGTGAGTCTAAGCACCTTTTCATTTGTCTGTTGGCTGCCCATATGTCTTATTTTGAGAAGTGTCTATTCATGTCTTTTGCCCACTTTTTCATGGGACTGTTTGCTTTTTTCCTTTTGGCACGTTTGAATTCCTTGTAGATCCTGGATGTTAGGCCTTTGTCAGATATACAGTTGGCAGATAGTTTTTCCCACTCCGTGAGCTGTCTCCCTGCTCTCTTGATGGTTTCTTTTGCTTTACAGAAGTTTACTGAATTGAATTTAAACCCTAAACAAAGGTTACAAATTAAACTTCAGACACTCACTGAGAATTGGATACATCAGAAGAACTTTTCTCCGGTAAATGTCTGGGGGAAACTTGGCATAATATACTTTGGCTCTTTGTGTCTCCTCATCACTCTGAATCAGGATCTTTCCAATTCGTATGGATCGACAGCAGTCTCGTAAACCTTGTTCCATTGCCTCACCTTGAAGAAAGAAATAAAAAAGGAAAAAGGGTTGGGGACAGAGAGAGGAATCCCAAGAACAGGCCAAAGCAGAGTTTGTGACTGTTTTAATACAAAAAAGACACTGTCAAGAAGAAAGTAATACTTCTGAAGCTAACAGCTTTTACTTCTGATATGGTCATAATTCATACTCAATGCAGGTCAATGAAACTAGGTAAAAGACTAGTCAACGAAACTGGGATAAGCTAGTTTTACTGCTGGCTTACAAGTTTTAGAGCTGTCATTCTTGATGATTACAGGAAATAAGCATTTTTGTTTTGTTTTGTTTAGCTGCTCTCTTAACTTTTTCAATATCAGGAATGTTTTTACCCCTATTATTTTAAAGAAGTCTTTAAACCACCTAAATCTGACACTTTCATCTGAAAAAAATACAAAAGATTTATGAAAGAATAAAGGCTGTAAACCAAAGGATCTCCTTTTAGGTCAAGGTGGCATCAGGAAACATCACTTACATCACCAGTGACTTCACTGATAAAAGTTTTGTTGCAAACAATGACAAAGTAGTATATTGTTCCCACTGTCCCAAAGAACCACAACCATCACCACCATTCCCTTGGTTTCTGAACACAGAGGTATTTTTGAATCTGAATTCCTTTAAGAATTTTTTTTTGCTAAAAATCAGTCATTCTTATGCTATCTTCAAGATTTTACACCACATCAGAATTCTACCAGTACTAGTATTTACTTAACATTTTTTCTTAAATTAACTATTTTCATTTAAATTTATTTTAATAGGAAACATTGTATCACTAGTATAAACATAAAACTTGTTTTTTCCCCTAATATATATGAAAATCAACAAATGGCTACTGAGGTTAAAAACAACTCTGTCTGTACATCACCTCACACCATCGGGTATACACTAGAGGTATAAGGACCATGCTGGTGCCTTTAGGGAAGAAGCCAGATTAAAACAGAAGAAACCATGCCCTAAAAGTACATTATCTTCCCCAATTTTAAAAAGTTGAACATTGTACTATCATTGCTTAAGAGCTACCTTCTAGATAAAAGGGAGCTTAAAGCTCTAGTTTGCTTGAGGTATTTAATTGCTCACAAACAAAACTTCACAGTCAGAGAAAAGTGTTTATGTTTCAAAACAATAATCCATACATTTCCAGTGCTAGCAAATGGGACTTCCACCACTTGCACAAAATTAATTTGCTGAATGCGAATAATCACCCCTATATAACAGGTATAAGTTTGAATCACAGGCATGTAATTTTGCTGCACAAAGATTGGTTTAGAAGGGCAATCAAAAAGACTCAAACACAAATACAACATTTGTAAGACCAACAAATGGAAATGCCTAGAGTTAATGACAGTTAAGCATTTTTGCCAACATAGTCACATACTTCTCAAATATAAAATTAAAAATACTGAATAAGTCATTCACTCCAACAACAAAAGTGAAACAAAAATGGAACAAGTATTTTCTCCAGTCAGAAATTCAAAGTTCTGCAGGTGTGGATTTATGCCATATTCCCTCCTTCTTCAAACTGTCCTAATCTCCCTAAGATAGCATTATTGCATTCTCCTACCCTCCCACCGTCCCCTGAATCTCTTTGAAAGTTGGCTTGCCCATGGAGGCAGGTCACTAGGGAGGATGCTCTGCAGTTCAAATCAGCCAAACTTAGCAGCACACAGGCCATGAACTCCAAGGCACCATGAAGATAGACAACATAGATGAGCCAAGTGAAGGCAGGCTGCAATTAGGACAAACCCACCTGTCTCCTAGAAAATAGCAACCATTTCTATGCATGCAGAGACAAAATCACAAACATGTGAACCTACCGCTTCTCATTATGCTGACCCCACAATTTCCCTTTTCAAATTTCACTCCTTCATACTTGTACCCTGTTGGGGAATAAAACCAGAGTTTATCTTTCATCATTGGAGCAACTTACTTATTTTATAAAATGCCTATGGTTTAAAGCAAATAGGTACAGAGCAACCTTTGTCCAAATACATTGTATAATGCCTGAGGTTCCCTGTGAAAGTAATGAGTCATGATTTTTCATAGTTATTCCTTAATTCTTCATAAGAAACCTGTGGGGATAATTGTAAGAGTTAAAATTCATTGAATGGGAATAGGACTTATCATGGCATGATATTCACAAACACACTCCTCAAATTGAATTCAAAGGAGAATCACTGTACTCTGAGAATGCGGTGTACCCCATCAATTCAAACTGGAAACTCACTGTGAGCTACAGTAGAAAGCCTCTTCATTCCATCATTTTTTATGAGCCTCCATTCTGTCTTAAAAATCAGAGGAGGCTGAAGTAGTTATCAAGATATGCTAAACCCTTGGTCTCATCCTGAATTTGCGAGAATTATGATGCAACAAGCCCTGACTCCAATTTTCATAAAGCCAACCCTTTGAACAGAACAGTTTCCCATTATTTTACTAAAAAACCAAATCAGAATTTCAAGTCCCTGAAACTTTCCATTAAAGAGTAGAATAATGCACCTTCTCCAATTCTCACTGACACCAGCAGCTTCCCCAAAGAGGTGAAGACAAGCTGCCAGCAGTTTTTTTTTTTTTTTTGCTTTTTAAAGCAATGCTTTTATTTTACACTCAGATTTGTATAATAATGTGAACAAAATTTGTTAGGGTCCTCATTGCAGGCAATTCAGAGTACTTGTTTAAATGAATAGAAAATAATAAACATCATTTTAATATTGATTTTATACAAATGAGGCATTTCTAGTCTTAAAACATATTTGAAATAATACAAGTTCATACATGCTTCCTACTTTTTAAGTAATCTCAACAAAGTCTTTCTTTATGGGTAGTGTGAGATATGTCACTCAGACTGTATTCTAGGGAAAATAAGTTGGAGAATTTCTTTATATATATATACATCCCTCATTATAAGAATTTCTCTGTAGAGGCAAGTTGCACTGATTTAAGAGGTGAACATGTTCCCAATTTCAAGGAGATTAAATTCTGGTAGAACATCTCTGCTCGATGTTTTTATGTACTAAATTTTAACAATTGGGTCCAATCTGAAAAAACTCTTTCCCTGTCACTTTCAAAGCTGCTTTTACCTCCTTATTTCTCAAGCTGTAGATCAGAGGGTTCAGCATGGGAATCACAATGCCATAAAATATAGAGGCCACTTTCATATTCTCCTGGGAATTCCTAGAGTGAGGCTGTAAATACATGTAAGAGAAGGTCCCATAGAAAATGGTGACAGCTGTCAGGTGGAAGGCACACGTGGAAAAGATTTTCTTCCTCCCTGCAGTGGAAGACATCTTCAGGATGGCAGCAATAATGAAGATATATGAAAAGATGACAACCAACACAGTGAACATCAAGTTAAAGCCCACAAAGACAACAAGTAGCATGATGTTGATGTCAGTGTTGGAGCATGAAAGGGAAAGGATTAGGGGAACATCACAGAAAAAGAGATTGATGCTGTTGGACTTGCAGAAGGACAGTGAAAATGTAAAACCTGTGTGTACAAAGGCATTATTGAGCCCATGACATATGATCCAGCTACCAGTTGGATGCAGACAATTCAGGACATGATTATGAGATAGTGAAGAGGTTTACAGATGGTGAGATAACGGTCCACTGCCATTGCAGCCAGAAGGTAACAGTCACTAGTTGCAAATGTTGCATAAACCAATAACTGCATCACACAGCCCTGAAATGATTATCAAGTTATTTTCTTCTGTGAAGATTTGGAGCATCTTGGGAGTGATAGCAGATGTGTAAGTGGATTAAAAAAATGTGGTATATATACATGATGGAATACTACGTAGCCATAAAAAAGAACAAAATCATGAACGTCGCAGCAGCCTGGATAGAACTAGAGTTTATAATACTGAGTAATCTCTCACAGAAACAAAGATCTGAGTATCACATGTTCTCACTCATAAGTGGACCTTGACCATCTATCGCAATACTATAAGAAAAGAATTGAGAGTGGTGGGAAACTATGGGGGGGCAGCGAGGGGAAGGGAGGTGGGATTAACTGTAGTCAATATCTGTCTGGGGACGGGGGGACACCCCTTATCAACAAGGGTGCCTGAACGATGCATATTTGTATGCCTAACCCTTAACTGCACCCCACAATTTTAAAATAAAAAATATGTTTTTTAAAAAAATCCAAGTCAAAAAGTGACATGAAAAGTAAGATTTTTATTTTAAGGAGTCACAAAGGTTTTTGCTGCTGTTTTTTTCTTGGTCTCTTTTAGACTTTTAGTAGGGACACAAGGAAATGGCACGGAAGTGACTGAATTCTTTCCTCTGGGATTTGGTGCTTGACATGAGTTTCAGCATGTCCTCTGTATTATATTTCTTCTGATCTATGTGACTTCCATGGTGGGCAATATTGGAATGATTCTACTCATCAAGACAGATTCCAGACTTCAAACACCCATGTACTTTTTTCTATAACATTTGGCTTTTGTTGATATCTGCCGGCAGTTCTTAATTCTGGTACCAATGGGCCTTCACAGAGGCAACACTTGCATACTGAAGAATATTTATTAACCTTTATCTTGAATTGATAAACAAGTGATTAACAAAAAGTCATCTACTAAACGTGTCAGAGTTTTTTAAAGATGTTTAAAAGAACAGTTCCACTAGACTCCTCATTTTGCATATTGATTTTACTTAGATTGCTTCCCTTTCATCTTCCCACATTCTAGCTCGAATTTTTATCAGGAAATTTGAAAGTAACAACCCTAGTTACCTGTTGGAGTGGTCACCATGCATTCTTTATATGGCAACTGATTCAATCCCTCTTCCACAACGAGTCTGATCTAGAGAGAGTCAAAGGAAGAATAAGTTGAGAACCTGCTGAGAAGCTCCTGCTAGCTGTTAGCCTCAGGAACTAAACAGAATGCAGAGATTCAGTAGCACACTAGGCAAGGGTTTAGCTTATGGAGGTAGGATGGGGCCCCCTAGCATGTATTAAATGGATACATGCTAGGATAGATGAATAGATTCAAATGCCAGGCTGCTTGCTGCTAAGTATCCATCCTCAGGCAGATGATTGCCACCAAAAAGTTTCAGTATGTCTTCTGAGTCTCATTCAGTCAGTCCAGGCTACGAGGGATGCAAAATTCCAGCAAGTGACAAAAGTCATGACCCTTGGAAGCAATATACTTCTGATTACTCTGGAAATGGTGCCTACAGGGACTTTCTCTGCTTTGTTCAGTACCTTTGAAATTGTTAAGTCAGATTCTTTTTAACAAAAGCTTGCCATATGTAAATAAATCATGAAACTTCGTGTGAGGGAACAAACCAGTGCATGAGCTGAACCAATTTACTGAGCTTGAAAGACATCCAGTAGAATGCACTAGGGCTTCTCAGCTAAGAAAAGGTTCATACTAATCATGATGTGGTATAGAGGAAAGAATCACTCAGAAATACTAGGAGAAGCCTCTAGAAAAGATATAGTAATCCCTTGAGCAACCAGACCTACTGCAATAAAGGCAGTGCTGAGTCTGCAATGCACATTTTCTCCAATCAATATTACATTACTGACTGAGAATCAGGAACAGCAGGGAGAAGCACCAGCCCCATGCTCTGTTATCACAATACAACACCCTGCTGCCATTAAGGATCAATTCTAAAGGAGCCAGGATTCTGTCAGCCTACAGCATCAGACAGAGGGCCCGGGAACCTCATGAGTACAGTGTGTGTGTACACATCCACCTCTAGCCACCACCTTCTGTGGAGAGTTATGTTTTTATTACAAGGGTAGAAGAAGATTCTTTTCTAACATGGGTCAAAGAGGATTCTTTTCTTTGAAAAGCCTAGATCGCCTCCTTCTAGTAATATTCCTCTAAAGAGTTTTACCTCCCGTCCCATCCCCCAATCCTAGAACAAAACTTAATGTATCCAAGACTTACAGGAGAATATATAATCAGAAGAAGGGTGACTAAAATATAAAGAACTCAAGGGTTTGTGGGGCAGGGAAGCCAACTCTGACACATTCAGGATAGAATTAATGTCCACTATGATGGGACCTTTGTGCTAGAGGAGATAGTGTACTAAAAATCCCTAACAAGAGAAACCTAAACAGCTCCAGTCCCCACCACAGCCACAACCGACCCTCCCCCATCCCATATCAGGACCTTCAAAGCCAACTGCAGAGATCAAAGAGGTCCTAATTACCCTTCCTGCAGATGAATTATGCCACAGATCTTTATTATCTCATTTGGTTAAAATAGAATGCCTGCCCCTTCAGGGCAGTATCTTACAATAGCCATGAATTTAATGTCTACTTTCTATAGAAAAAGAACACAAGGAAATCAAAGAAAGGGGAACTATTTTCTACAGGGAACACCAACACTTCTGTTCTCTCCACAATAGTCATTAAGACACAAGTTTCCTCAAACCTGTCCCTTCGGTTTGATAAACGCATACAAGACAGAATGACCTAACTATTGCCCAGGAATGCCAAACAAATTTATCTTAATATTATGCAAGAGTTATTACTTCCCTGAAAGCTCAAGTACTTTTAAATAGAATTGGTTTCTGAATCAAAAATATTTAAAGCTAAAAGCAGAACAGGAGTTGCCTATACTCTTTTGTAATAAATTCCCCAAGGAAAATCTAAACTCAAATTTTGTGCCTTTTATTGTCACATTCCCTTTAATAATTTACCTTTTACTATCTGATTATAACTTCAAGAATAATAAGCCACATTTCTTTCTTTCCCAAACTAAATACTGAAAATAATATTTAGATTATGAACTCCATGGGCTCAAGAACCATGTCTACACTCTCCACTGTTCTATCGCCTCTCTCCCAATACTACCTAGCACATTGCCTGACTCACATGAGTTGTGTATATTTCATGAATGGATGAAAACTAATAACCACAGCAGAAAATCTGTCAACCTCATTCCAAGCACTGAGCACACTTAGATATTAACACAAGAAAATGACACAGTGCTTACACTGAAGAAAAAACAATTTGGCTTGAGATCCTCTCAGATTATACAAGCTAAACAGAATTAGGCTTGGTCAATCCCTAATAAAAAGTCCCTGAGGAAAGCATAGACAGTCAAACTTAGTAATTCACATGTAAGGATGACACAGAAAAGTTGAGGCAAAATAAATGCAACTCTCCATGTAAACTATAAAAAATATATTAGTTTTTGTATAACTACTAGGTATCTTTATATTTTCCTTTTAATGTACTTTACTGCCCTAAGATGAGACACTTAAGATTTACTGAGAACCAGACTGCCAAGATCTATTTGAGAGATAGTGGGACCTAAGAACTACAGAAAATTGAGTCTGTGGGCAATGCTTTGAGGTGAAAGGGATTGAAGTAGAGCTTTTATGTAACAGTAGAAACAACACGTCAGAAACCTACCAAGATGATGATTACTTGGTGCAATTTCTTTCACCTCCAGAAAGTTCTAGAACAAAAATGCCCCTTGGCTACTATGATTATATCACTAGGTACAACAATGAAATAAAAATGGAAAGCCTTCACCTACCAAACGATCCGCAGAAAACATGAAGTCCCCTCTACTGGCTGTCCTAAAAAATAGTAAAAAATTTAGTCTAAGTTAGAGTTTTAAGCTAAAACATTATTTAATACAAATAGTAACACTGATATTAAGACCTATTACATACTAAAAGCTTAAATGCTTAAGTGAACAGACTATTACTGAGGCAAGATTTTTTTTTATTAGGATACAGGCAGATGAGATGACTTGATAAATATTACTAAAATGCTTATTTGATATTAACATGAGAGTCTGGAGTTGATCATGCAGTCCCCCACTGAGCTGCCTAAGCACATATTATTCAACCAGAAGATGAATAAAGTTACCCCTAGAGTATGACAGTAAGTCCATAGCTCAAATTGAGAGGAAACTTTGCAGTAAGAAAATCAGGTTCTCCCCATCTTCCCCCTCAATTCACCTTGATCTAAAACCCATTTTGCCGAGATAAGTAACCCGTCTACTTTATAATCCTTTTTGGAATCAGAATAGTACAAATAAATCCTCTACTGCTTTACAAGAACAGTACTGCTCTACTGTTTTTGCCACTGCTTTCAAAAACATATAACATAATTTCCAATATTTCTTTTTCACATGATTGATAATCTGTTCTTTTTCTGTTTTTTCAAGCATTTCATTCCTTGTTTTTTCAAACAAGTACTTCATTCTCAACCTAGATCTTTCTGCCATTTTCCTATATATTTCCTTCTGATCAATACCTTCATATTTTGAGGTACCCACATAATAATAATCCAGGGTTGCACCTACCCTCAAGCTGTCAACTGGCCAAAAGGGGAATGTTGTTAAACAAGTGTTTTTTTGGTACATAGAAATCTAGTATTGTTCTTCTTCCTTCTTCCATATAAGTTAAGTGATCTGACTGAATGGACTGATTTATAGTTTATGTATTTAAAAATACCGATATGCCTATCCATAGCATACCTAAAATATTCCCCAACACTACATCAAAATGGCATATGCAATCACATATTATCTCAGTATACCATTAATGACCAGTTTTTCCCCCTCAAGCTGCATTCACTTTCTCTGACATGGAAAAGCAATTAAATATTCCTGACTCAAATAGCATTAGGTTTTTTAGAATAATCAGTTTTACCATATTACAGATACTAACTTTCCAAAATATGGAGCATAACTGAGCAATAGCAAGAATCTGTCTGTATTATTTATGTAAAAATATTCCCTAAACTCAGAAAACTCTATTCACACATAAATATACACACAGAAAGCACATTTAAGACAGGTTCAGTCGCAAATACTGTGGTTTTCAAATGAGATCATACTATTACATTAGCACCTTTGATTTCTATAATTAATCTTTACAAATACTTGTCAAGGAAGCAAAAAGTAGTAAATTACAAAAAAGCACACTGCTCTGTTTTCTATTGACCTATACAAATAGGCAGCCAGAGGAGTTTCTCAATAGGGAAGAAAAGTCTGGATGTGTCTAAAGACACATATATCCAGTGACATATATTGGGAACACATCTGAAATATTTGTTTAATTTCCAAACAGTTACACATCAATTTATTACACAGAAAAGTTATATTAGATTAAGTGATCAGAGCTACCCAAACCTGTTATTTTACTTTGGAATTAAACATTTTAACACCTTTCACACTCTTTCTCCCCAAAAAAATCAGCCTCACCTGATAGCTTTTGCATAATAATCACCTTCTTTCTCTACATTCCAAAAAAGGTACATACTAGGAGAACCACATATGAACTGTCATCTTTTGACAGCTCTATTTGACCTCCAATTAAATCATTCACTGCTTCAAGTCACTGCACTAAAGACAGTCATTATTAACCTACTTCTTGCTGTTTTAAACAGACTTCAGACCCATACTGCTCACTTTAAATCAATTTAGAAATCAAAGTAAATCTAGACTACAGTAAATGAACCACATTTAAAGAAATCCAAAATGGACTTCAATATCACATTTAAATCCTTAACACTGTTAAGACTAGAGTTTCATAAAGCAGATATTTACTTGCTGGGTCAATCAAGCTGCACATATTCTCTGAGCCTTTACTTTAGGTCCAACATTGGGCTTAATTATTTGTTAATAGAGATGGTTTTAATACAAACCAGATGCAGATCTTATACATTGTATATATAGCTTTAAGTCATAGCTACATTTATTTTTTGTTTTTAAACCATTTTCCCCACCAGTACGCAATATGTCCATGTAACAAACACGCACTTGTACCTCCTGAATCTAAAAACCTCTCCCACTGAAAACAAAGCTTTGAAGGATATATTAATCATTCTATATCTGATAATAGTCTTATGATGTTCGTGTGTGTGTGTATGTGTGTGTGTGTGTGTGTGTGTGTGTGTGCATGTTTTTGTCCACAGTTCCTAGCTCATAACTTCTATTGACCTTGTTACAGTCTTTTGTTATAATGTTGAGTATGTTAGGCCTCAAGCCTCAGTCAGGCTTCAGGAAACAATCTCTCTGACCTCCTTTCACCTGCCCCGAGGTAGGACTCTAATCTTTCCCTTTCTAGTCTAAGGCCCTCCCCAGAAAGGGACCAGCCCCTACCCTGGGGAAGGAATGCTGACATCATGAAGTGCCCATAAAAACCCAAGAGGACTGGGTTTGCAGAGCTTCCAAATAGCTGAATACTTGAAAGTTCCTGGAGGGTGGTACCCCAAGGGAGGGCATGGAAGCTCTGCACTCCTTTCCCCATACCTCGTCTTACGCATCTCTTCATCTGTATCCTTTATAAGAAACCGGTAAACATAAGTGCCTGAGTTCTGTGGGCTGCTCCAGCAAATCAATCAAACTCAAAGAGGGGGGTCATGGGAACCCCAACTTGAAGCCAGTCAATCAGAAATTCTGGAATCTCAGACTTGTGACTGGTGTCTGGGGGGAGACAGTTTGGGGACTGAGCCCTTAAGTCTGTGGTATTTGATGCTATCTCTAGGAAGTGTTGGAATTGAATTTAAGGACACCAGGCTGGTGTCCACTGCTTAGTGTATGTGGGAAAAACCCCACACATTTAGTTACATAAGTCATCTTCTGTGTTGATGATTACTGTTGTGGTGTTATGGAGATGTGACGATGTGAGAGAAGAGGAAAAACTCAGTTTCAGAGGGTTTTTCCGAATCAAAACCCAAATAAAATCTAATGTAAAATTATTACAAAATTATTAAAACACACATAGATACATGTCCTTGAAACATTCTTAAAATACCAGGGGTGCCAAGAAATAGTATACACATTTTAAGAGATGTTAAGTGATGTAACGGTAACTGGAAGTGTCTGGACACTGATGGTAACCACTTTGAGCACCTCTTGTAATTGAAGAAGTCAAATGTGACTTGTATTCATCATATTGAGTATTACAATTTTTTTCTTTTAGGCATATTTTATTTTTTATTTTAAAGATGTGGGGTACAAGTCAGAACTGGGTACATAAGTGGTTTATGTACAGGTGAAGTTTGGGCCTCCCACTGGACTTCATTTTGCCTAGATTAGGATCAGGCCCCCTTATCGATAGAAATCGCCTTTCCATATGACCCAGCAATCCCCCCTCTGGGAGTATTACAATTTTAATACATATTTTTCCTTTCTTAAAATGTGTATACATTTTTGGCACCCTGTGTTATCTAAATAATCAAATATCAAATATTTAAACAGTGATATCCAGGCACTTACAATCCAAAGCATGGAAATTGAATTAATGTTAAGCTGAGAATCTTTTAACTTGTACAAACCCCAAACAGATTTAAGAACACAGTTCTAACCATATCTGAGAATGTACTTTTCTTGAGACCTCTTCACACACACAAATGTGTCACACACCTGTAGCAATAAGATGAAAGCCAAAGGCAGTCATTTTTTAAAAAGCAATCTTCACCTTGAAACAAAAAAAAATGAGATTCATGCTGAAAGCCAAATCTTCCATTTTATGTGGACTTGATAATTCCAACTCTTTCCTACATGACTGTCTATAAAGCACTATAAGATTTCTATAGAGAGCCAGGTACAGTGGCTCATACTTGTAATCCCAGCACCTTGGAAGGCCAAGCAGAGAGGATCACTTGGGGCCAAGTGTTTGAGACCAGCCTGGAAAACATAGAGAGATGCCATCTCTACAAAATTTAAAAATTAGCTGGGCTCACACCTGTAGCTCCAGCTACTTGGAAGGCTGAGGCAGGAAGATCACTCAAGTCCAGGAGTTTGAAGCTGCAGTGAGTTATGATCGGGCCACTATACTCCAGCCTGGGTGTCAGAGCAAGACCCTGTCTCAAAAAACAAAACAAAGCAAAAAACTTTCCAGAGAGGCTGCAGCAATTGGGGATATTTAAAAATATGTATGTAAACCTGACCCAAAATAAAATCTCTTAAGAGTCTCACTGAACTTTCTTTCAAAAAGCTAATAGATATTTACTTATCTACAAGATATAGAAGTATGAGAGGAATATTTTTATAGCAATAAAAATTAAGTGGGTAGTTCTCCCTTCTTTACTAGGCCTCACTACTACTGCTACAACAACTACTATTGGAGGGATTCTCTAGCATTTTGGAGGACATCCTCCCTTGGGATAATTACAACTTTAATTCTCACAGCAGAAATTGCCTTTTGATCACTCTCATTTTGCTGCTTCTCTCTATTCAGAATAAGCTTGACAACTCCCCCATCTTTTTTTACAAAATCAATTTGACAACTATATACATGTATGTACATGTGTGTATATACACACCCCAAATTCACAGACTTATTTATAAAACTGTTCTTAATAAAGGTCCATAAATGATAGGAGGTACCTAATGTTACACATATATTACTCTCTTCTTTTCCAGCGACCACCATTTATTAAAAGCTTCCTTGGTGCCAAGTAGTGAGCACTTTTGGTACTAAAAGGACAAAGCCCAAAATGGAGTTTCTGTGTTCACTTTAAGCTCATACAGGATGAATCACAAGACATTAAGATTAACTTCTCCCAAGAATTTGTCTTTCAGCTACCAGCCCAGCCCTTCTCATCTGTGTGATTAACCACCCATGACTGATCCACCCATCCAGCTACTGGCCCACCTTTGTCTATGTGCTCCTAACTGACCCACTCTTCTCTCCAGCTGTCAGAAACAGACCCCCATCACCATAACATCAGCTTCTGTGAATGCTTGCCTACCTGCCCCCACTAAAAGGGAAGGCTTAAAAGCTTTCAACCTGAAGCATTCATCACCAAACGTTCCTTAAACATCAGGCCCCCTCTCCAATCTTGGAGAAGTGGATCTACCTTTGTTCTCTGACCTACTTTCTAAAAAACTGTCTTTTCTAATCTAATTTCTATGCAATTCTTTGCTTACTCACAGCACCAGTTCAGCTCACCAATCTAACAGGTACATCATCTCATCTAATCCTCACACAACCTTAAGAGGTAGATTCTATTATCACCACCACTTTAGTGATGAGAACAGTAAAACTTACAGAGATTAAGTATTTCAAGGTTCTTCCAGTCCTGAAGCTCTCTGATTCCAATTCCCTAAGTAAAGACACTATTAATGTTTTGGACCCTGAAGAATAGGTAGAATCTGAACGTGTATAAAGGAGATATAGGGAATTCCAGATGAGAGCAAAAACAGAGATGTATCAGAATAGTTCCTAGAAACCATGAAGCAGTGCCTTTATACCAATCTAGGGATCCTGTTCTTTATTTGGTAGGGTCTGAGAAGCCAAAGAAGGCTGCTGAGTAGGGCAGTTACTAAATCAAAGGTGTATATTAAGAAGAATGATTATACAGTAATGTGTGAGTGCATGTGGAAGAGAGAAAAACTGCAGGCAGGGAAACAAATTAGGAGCCTATTACAATAGCATGAAGAGAAAGTTACTAAAGTCTTATTACGGAAATGACATCCTATAATCCAGTACCCATTTTTAAAAGATCAAGGCATGTCTCACAACTGAAAAAGGAGTGTTTTGACGTGCTGTAGCTGCTTATTTAAAGTGCTGCCAATAAAGAAAACAGCTATAGTAAGCCATGGTACATATTTCTCTCGAGAAAATCCATCTACAACATGGGTTTAGAAATTTCAAAATAGCATTTTAACATGAAGTTCTGTCTACATCGGTTAATGGGATTAGGAGAGGGCAAAGGCGCCTTTAGGCTCCCTTTGATTAATTACCTATGTTTTGTGGGCTTGCAGTAAAATAATCTTGGTAAGAGATGGATGTGGCCAAGTAGATCTGAACTCCAAGGCTGAAAGACCTTAGACAAAACAACATATTTGCAGGAGCAAACTCTAAAGGGTCAGAGGGCCTGTGGAACACAACATAATTTCCCTGAAATTGTTTATTTCTATGTGTGAGCTTCAGGTTATTGGTAGTAGGGCATAATATCGGGTAGTAACCATTTCTAGGTTATAGATTTACCACGTGGACAGGCACTGGGGAAATAGCATAAGGGCGTTTACCTTCCTGGAATGGCAGAGGATTCGTCATCCAGGATATGTCACCGCTCAGACAAAGAGGGCTGAGGCTACCTAAAAGTCTTCCTCCCTACACAAAGCGAGGTTAAACACAGGGGCTAAGAAAGAGAGGGTTGGTGGCTTGCGTCACATGACACCTCCCAACACACACACACAACACAGGGACTAAGAAAGAGAGGGTTGGTGGCTTGCGTCACATGACACCTCCCAACACACACACACACACACACACACACACACACACACACACAAACTGGGGCGCGTGCGCCAGAGGAAAGTCCTACTCCAATCTTCAAAAACGAGTTTACCAAGGCTAGGAACACGACCTTTAACTTACAATCCCCATCTACCCACTGTGTGACCCTCCGCTTCCATTTCCCCTTCCGATCTCGGCTTACTTGTCCCGGATGATGGTCTGCAGCTCCCTGATCTGATCATTCATAGGAAGCAGCTTAAGCTGAGCTCCGATCTGCCGCGAGAGTTCGCAGTCCTTTAGCAGGGAGTCGCCAGCCGGCGCGTCAAAGTTGCTACCGTCCCCACTAATACTCTTGCCCTCTGAGTTGAGGTTGGAGCCGCCGCAGGCCTGAGGGGATTCCTCGCACAGCTCGCTAGAATGGGCGTGCCCACAGGCGAGGAGCGTCAGCTTGGCCTTGGAGGCGCTGTTTCCCCTAGCATGGTCCGGGATCCGGTCGCCAGGTCGCAGCGGTTCAGGGCTAGGGGTTGAGGCAGAGTTTACTTGCTGGTTGTGACAGGGCATGGAGTCCGAACAATGTAACTCTGTGGCCATACACCGACCCCGGGCCGTCCCCGCTGCTACCGAACCCTAAGGATAAAGAGGAGCAGGGACAAGGGCCCGATGCTCACGGGCTCTCCCGCTTGCTCCCCACGCCTCAGAACCGCTAACACCGGTGGCCTCACCACTAGGCCGCTGCTGGTTCCCTTTAGCACGTTGTCTCACGCCCGCCCACACCAGACGTATTGCCTGTCTAGACACTCTATTGGCTTCTCTCCCCGCCACTCTGCGGCGCGCTGCTTGTTAACCCTTTGAGTCACCCCCGCTTCGTGGGTGCCAGGCGCTACGAGGCCAGGGATGAACGGTTGCCGGTCTTCTGGGAGGCCCCAGGGCTTCTGCATTCTGAAGTTTGGATGATCGTTAGAGCCAGGAGAAGGTGAGGTTGGCGGGTGATGACAAACACAAACGATTACACACATAAGGCCCATGTTTTCAGAATTTGTGACTTCGCAGAGAAATTATACCTCAGTAAATACACCTTAGTTAATTTGTGTAACCAAAAGAGGACGTAAAATGCCTAGCAGGCTCCTGAAGAGCCTGTCCTCTAATAGACTACAAGCTGCAGCTTGCCAAGTGTACTTGACCGCTAAAACTTTTCTTACTTTGATTGGGCTCTACATTGTACACGTTGCCATGCGGATTCTGATAGTGCTTCAAATCCACTATCACTTTGTTTCTTTTAAATACTTGGAAAGAAGGTGTGTGTGTGTGTGTGTGTGTGTGTGTGTGTGTGTGTGTGTGTGTGTATTCACTATAACAGCCTGAGGTAAGAGTGACGAGAACACTACTTTTCAAACCATGGTGTGTACCAGAACAACCGTAGAGCGTGTTAAAATACCGGGACAAGGGGCCAATGCTCACGTGCTCTTTCGCTCGCTCCCCACTCCTCTGAACCTCTAACCCCGCTTCCAATTTTGAGATACGGATTCATATCTGAGAAAAAACTCAAGCATCTAACCTTTATTTTTAACAAGCAGCCCAGCAATTCTGATTTTTTTAAATGGTACTCTTGGAGAAAGAGTGACTTACATGCTTCCTTTTAAAAGAGCTAAAACCAGCCGGGCTCGGTGGCTCAGCCTGTAATCCCGTGCCTTGGGAGGCTGAAGTGAGTGGATTGCCTGAGCCCGAGGGTTCGAGACCCGCCTGGGCAACTTGGTGAGACCTCATCTCTACAATAAATCAAAAAAAAAAAAATTAGCCAGGTGTGGTAGCGTGCGCCTGTAGTTCCAGCTACTTGGAAGGCTGAGGCGGAAGGCTCGCCGGAGCCCAGCAGGCGAGGTTGTGGTGGCCGGGAGCAGCCACGGCACTCCAATCTGGGCGACAGAGTGAGACTCCAACTCAAAAATAAAAGAGCTAAAACCTGAAAATCAAAGACCTGCTAATTCTGCTCTAAAAAAAAATTATTGAGGGACATTTGACAAGTCCCTCCCCTCACTTGACTTGACTTTTCCCATATATAAGATGCTCATTCTCAAAGAAGATGATTATTAAAATAAACACGACATAAAATGAGATACATTAACTATTTGACCCTTAAATATTCTTAAAAAGTCCCTCTTCCACACAGGAACATAACCAACACATTCAGAGATTCAAAGAAACATGAGTAACATGGTGGGACTTGAGCCTTGATCTGGCTCTCTGTTTTTTAAAAATTTTTTTGCTTGGTTTTTGTCTTGTTATTGGTATAAGTAGTATTTTTAATCCCTTTGTTTCTCTGCTTTGTGCTTGATCCTCCAGGTCAGTATACTGTTAGCTGTAATTATAATGTAGAGTGTAAACTTGATTGGATGATAAGAATTGTAGCCTAGAATTGTAATCCCACTCACTTTTGAAAGCCTATGCGTTTTTTCACCTAGCACATAATGAGAATCAAAGGGTCTCTGGGTTGAAAAACTGCACCTGCTAACTTGAAGTGGGCAGGAACAATTGAATGACTACTTTACCAGAGAATAAGGGAAAACACTGAACTACAATATTGTATTATTAACAGAAATTTAAATGCAGTAATAAATTTTAAATTGCATTGTAAGACATCCCAGGACAAAAACTACACTTTAGTTTTGTTTAGTGTCTCATCGGGCAAGTGGCCTTATTCTTAATATCATAGAATATGAATTAGAACAGTATAATTGCCAATGTGTGTCTTCACTCTCATAGGAAACACTCATGTATGCACTTACCTATATTAATCAATAAGCAAAAACAGGTCTATTTATTCAATTTGATTATTTAAGTCTCTATTAAAGCAAAATTCACAAATGATTAAACATAAACCTTAAGTTTGGTATTTTATAATTTACAAAAAGTTTCATATACATTCTATCATTTAGTTTTTCAAAAAAGCTCGAGGATCAATCCTCACTTACAGATAGTATATGTGCGACTCTTTTTCCTTAAGTGACTTGTCCATGATCACACATCCAACATGAAACAAAACCAAGACAAGAACCATAGTGTTTTGACTCTAAATCCAGTCTTCTTTACATATGCCTACAGATTCATGAAATAATTTAGTTAACAAATGTTGGTCGAATCCTTACTATTTGCCAGGCATGTTGCTACGTGCTAGAGCAGACACAAAGAAAAATAAGCGAAGATCTTGCAATTCTCCCTGGTCATAGAGGTCGTGGATAGCATGGCTCTTTGAAAACCAAGAGATAATGTTAGGTAACATAGAAACCTTCACCATGGATACTTACAAAATTGACAAAATTTACAGAATTGACAAAATTTAGTTTAACGTTCTTGCTTCCCACATTTCGATGAAGGTATAAAGTCAAATAAAGTAAAAAGGTGTAAAATTATCCTGAAATAATTAAAATGACTGTAAACTTCAGTTTAGATTTTGAGCTCTAAATTTGAGATGATACCTAAAAATTAGGAAAAACAGCAAACCAATTAGTGTACCAATACGAATCCTTCACATTTATTTGTATAAAGTGCCTTTACAAAACACTTTTATGTAGATGATCTCATTTGACATTGTGGAGTAGTGAGGGACAGTATTATTATTGTTGTTTTAAAGGTGGGAAAGTTGAGAATTAGGAGTCTCATTTCAAACCACATCATAAGTAGTAGAATTAGGAGAAAACAAAAGAGAATTAATATTAAACCCCATTTTCCAAGCAATATGCTTCAATTATATCATTCAAATGTTCCAACAACTCTAGGAGGTAGGCCCTATTGTTAACCCCATTTTACAGACAAGAAAACTGAAACTTAGTGATATTAAGTAACTTGTTAATGTTGCACAGGCAGTAAGTGCAGGAGCAGATATTGGAACCTAAATTTGATCAGGTCAATATGACTTTCTATAACTCAAGTCCTCAGATTAGTTCAGGTTATATTCCTCTATTGTATACCACATTTTATGTTTGTAATAGACAGTACCTCACATGCAATGCTACCTTTAACCTATGAAACAAAAATTACACTATATAACTGTACCAGGGAGTTCTGATATAATTTTGTTATTACTTAGTCCTCTGATTAACTCTTTGACAATCTCTTTGTGCCCTAAATTCCCAGAATTTCATAATTCGGGTAGGTTTTGGTGATGCTTAAGCCACTGCACTGTAATTTTACATTTCTTATGAACAAAAATGTATTAATTAAAAGATTAGCCAATGCTTTGAACAAGTACTGCAATTCACTTTTCTTTCCACATGAATATCTATCATCTTTCAGATATATACTTCACCTTAATTCTTATCTTGGATCTCAAAATGTCTGTTGGGGTATCTTTTTTTTTTTCAAAGTCCTACCCATATTAGAGAAAGCCTGTGCCTTTCTAGGGGTATCTTTTCAAATGTGTATCTTGTCTTCATTACCATTTACTCTCCTTCTTTTCAAATTTTTTTCTTCAATGCCTGATCCTGTTATTCTGCTTGTTTACTTATTTCCAGCTTCATTGAGGTATAATTGACAAATAAAAATTGTACATATTTAAGGTATACAACATAATGATCTGATATACATATACAGTGTGACGTGATTACCACAATAAAACTTGTCAACGCATCCGTCACTTCACATAGTTGCCATTTTGTGTATGTGTGGTGAAAACACTTAAGATCTACTTTCTTAGCAAACTTCAAGTATACAACATAGTATTATTAACTATAGTCACTATGCTCTACATTAGATACTCAGAACTTATTCATTTTATAATTGAAATTTTTTATCCTTTGACCAACATCTCCCCATTTTATTCTCTCCGCCCACACACACACACAGCCCCTGATAACCAGTATTCTACTCTCTGCTTCTGTGAGTTGGATTTTTTGAATTTACATGTAAGTGATATCATACAGTATTTGTGTTTCTATGTCTGGCTTATTTCATTTAGCATAATGCTCTCTAGATTAATTCATGTTATCACAAATGGCAGAATTTCAAACATTTTTAATCACTTTTCAAATACATATTACCAGCCTTCTGAAGTCAGTTTACTTTAAAGTACAAAGCCTTCTATATATGTTCCTATATACCCATCTCTGATGTGCCATTCTAACCCTCAGAACTCTCATGAAGTTAACTGAGTTCTCTGTTGCAATTTCTCCTTCTATTCAATCCTGCTTCTTTTATTCCGTCTCTGGTATTTTTCTCAAGAGCACTCCCCAATAAACTTCCTGCCCACAAATCTCTAGCATGAGTCTGTTTCCAGAGGCCCCCAACCTATAACAGAAATAATAATAATCCAGAATAACTCCACTATCAAACTTGTGTGAACTTGATGATTCAAATTGTCCAAAAAAATCAAAAGGAAAGAGGTGATACTGCAGGTGATTAAACTCCTGCTTTGCAGATCTACTTATCAGTGAATTGGATTGGCAAATGTAATTAAATGTGTTCTGATTTTGATTTGTTAAAATGAAGTTAGGAGACTATGAACTAACACATACCAGCTTGCAAAAGTCCTGACACAAATCCCTTAATGATTGCTGAGATGATACGCCTGTAATCCCAGCATCTTGAGAGGCTGAGACAGGAGGGTTGCTTGACCTCAGGAGTTCAAGATCAGCCTGGACAGTATAGCAAGGCCTCGTCACTACAAAAATAAAAAATAATTAGCTAGGTGTGGTGGTGTGCACCTGCAGTCCCAGATACTCAGGAGGCTGAAGAGAGAAGATCATTTGAGCCTAGGA